CTCCCCAATGTCCTTTTGGAGGGGGACTCTCCCTCCAAACAATAACCGCCTCCCCACCCACTTTCCTGTCCTCCACGCCAGAAGTCGCCTCAAGCAAGGTTAGTGTTCTCCCTTCATACTGTACTGTACTGTACTTTCATATTTTTGTGGTTTAAAAAAAAATACATATGGTTCAGAACGGATTAACCGTATTTACACTGAACCTTATAGGAAAATTTGATTCGGTTGGCGACCAAAATCGGTTGGCGGCCACATTGGTAGGAGCCAAAACGGATTAACCGTATTTACATTGAACCCTATGGGAAAATATGATTTGGTTCGCGACCAATTCAGTTCGCGACCAGAGTCGTGAAACAAATTAACTTCATGAACCGAGGTACCACTGTAACTTCACATTTTTTGCTTGCAAGTTCAGTGATTAAGCCAGGCAACAATACAGTTCAAAAGACAAATTCTCCTAAACAAAATACATATCTACACAGACTAAAAAATGCTCATTAAACCATATTTGATCATGAAAAGAATAACTGCTGAATCTTCAGATTTAATACTATATTAAGAAGACTTATACTTGCTGTCATGAATACAGATAAGTCAAAGAAATGGCTCTTCTTTCTAAATTGTATATACTATTTCAACCAAGCATACTACTTAGAAATCTTGCATAAGAGGTTGTTCTGCAGCAGTTATATATTTATCAATAAGCTCGTGTTAATATTATTAACAGGGACTCTATATTTGTATATTTGTACATAATATACAGCCACAAATCCATATTCATATGTAGAATTTCACTTATTTTTTAAGGACAACACATACAATGCTCAAGTAGAGTCTGAGATTAGGTATCATGATAAAGTATGGTATAACTATGGTTTATTGAATAAACCAGAATTCACTGGCATCACATAACACACTAAACCCCAAGCGGTGCTTTACCAACTATAATGTTGGGTCCTCACCACACATTAAGCAAGTCCTTATATCGCAGGCCCATCCTTGCAATAGCCGTTTTTCTCTCACCCCGAAATACTCATCACTGAATATTCTTCTTAAATTACAGGTCATTCTTCTGCAAGATGTATCTATGGTTCTACTCCCAATTTTATCCTCATTGTTACCTTCATAATAGTGTCTGTATACCACTGCTAAGCACTTAAGTTTATTGGTGATGTAATGGAAGGTATCTGTGAGGAGGAGACTGGTATGGGAGATCAAGGCTGTCAGGAGGGAGGCAGCGCATTCCAGAAAGGGGGACAAGGCAGGCGCTTTCTCAGTCCGCAGCAAGACCGCAAGAAGAAGAAGAGGCTTAGACTAGCCCCTCCCTAGAGTATCACGGGGTATATCCACTAGTTGCTGTAGTGTAGAGTTAGTCTGGCGAGAATGATGTCAGGCTCAACCCAAGAACGACGATGAAACAGTCCAGTACAGTACAGTTCCTTTATTTGCTTACACCTTCTAGACAGAATCTCGCCAGACTAACTCTAGTCCACTACAGCAACTAGTCGATATACCCTGTGATACTCTAGGGAGGGGCTAGTCTAAGCCTCTTCTTCTCACAGTCTTGCTGCGGACTGAGAAAGCGCCTGCCTTGTCCCCCTTTCTGGAATGCGCTGCCTCCCTCCTGACAGCCTGGATCTCCCATACCAGTCTCCTCCTCGCAGATACCTTCCATTACAGGTGATATTATATACATATATACTTACAGGTCTATAATAGACAATATTGATCAACATATATAGGGATTATTACTAATCTGACGTAAAACGTCATAGATCATAGACATAGTCAAGAATATGGATTTTATATTGAATTCCAAAAGCCTTGCTTCTCTAGCTCTTTCAACAAGTCTTTTTAGATCTGCCAAACAAAGGACTGTAAAGTTGTTTGCACTGCATCCAGCAATCAGAATAGCCTTTACTTCTATCTGTATCAGTAAAATGAGATAAGTACTGAAGTTGGGATCAAGTAGCAAGATTATAAATCAGTCTTCCCCAATACAGCACTTTTTAGATCTGGTGGTGTAGAGAGTAAAGAAGATGACCTTGATGGAAATATGTAGGTGTTGTTGCCTAGGCAAATGGGGCTAAAGCAGTATTTAAGTCCAGAACATCCAGATTATGTTTGGAAATGGCTCAGATACCTCTCTAATCCATTGAATTATAAGGTGGGGAGGATAGCACAATCATACTCGCAAGGTTTTTATAGCCAGTCTTAATATAAATAGTTTTAGCTTTCCTGTGGAGTTGATTTCCTGCTCTGATCTACCTAATGGGGCTGAGAAGGGGGACTGCAACTTCTGAATTCTACATGAGAGCCATCTGGAGAACACCAGATCATGAGATTTTATAAATCAACAAAAAATAATAAAAGGCTGTTGTAGCAAAAAATTAGGGTTGGTTTGCTGGAAACCACAATAGCCCAATATGGTTATTATATTATATATAGTTATTATAAGCAAATTACTTAATAGCATCACACTATATATCCAGCACAATGTGTTGTTTACTGCTTGTTTACAAAGATTCTCTCCCAAATTTCAGGGACTGCTACACATTCACAGATGTTAATTAGTTTGTAAAAGGAAGAAAACCATCTCTTTTGAAAATGCGAGGGACTCATCAATTATCCAGTCTTTAGGTAGTAGGGGAAGGATGTATTCTTTTGCTTCCGGAATTAGGGTTGTGACAGGTCCCTTACTGTAATTTGCTTTCCTCCAAAGTCCCACTGTTTTTGGCTTTCGTTTTAACAGACCTTTGAATAATTTCCATTGTAGGTCCTCCAGGCCATCAAAAGTTGCATATTTTGTTTCTTTAAAAAGAGAGAGAAAGCACAGAATATCAGATGTAAACATCATAGTGAATATGTTACTTCTTGACTGCAAACAAATTAAAAAAGCAATAGCACTCAGTGTATCATACAGCAACATTTATTATGTGACTGGGAACTGTGAATGCCAGACCCCACCACACGCCTATTGCTGCTAGGACCTTGAGAATTCAAAAGAAAGAGAACAAGCTTAGTAATGCAATTCTGTTCCTGTAGATCAGGGTCTGGAAACTGGTCTTCCAAATATTGTACAGCTACAATTCCTAATACTTGGCATCACCAGCCATGCTGGCTAGGGAACCTTCTGCAGAGGTCCTGCATATATGTGCATCTGTAGATGCACACTTATGGAAGAGGCTACTTCCACTGCTGTAACTTGAACTGAAGGAACTGGAAGTTCAACAGCAAGCTTAAATGACTACATTCATCACTGTCCTCCAATTAATGCCACCTCTGTTTCAGCTACTAAGCTTTAGACAAAGCTTGACGTGTATTGAAACTGATAGTTTAATTTGGGCCTATCTAATCTGGGCCCTTTCCACACATTTCCCAGCCAGCATGACAATTTCTGAGAATTCTAGAAGCTGAAGACATGGAAGACAATCAGGTTGGAAACTATGGGTCATGTAAATGCTCTGGAGCAAGGCATCCTCCAGATGTGTTGGGACAGCTACTCCCAGAATTCTTAGTCTAGTGCTCATAGTATAGTGACTAAGATAGGCAGATCTGGAATGAGAGATTCACAAACTACAGATGGACTTCAGGAAATTATGAATTTTACTACTAGCTTTTAAGCAGGAATTCTGATTTGTGGCAGACTTGGTTCCTCTGACATTAATATTTATCTCCAGCTTCCATCACGTTACAAAAAAGCTAGTATCCCCATCAGGGGCTGTTTAATCTTTTACCTCTCTTATAACTCACTTCTGAACACAGTATTTAGGAGATCTCCCTAATTTCAAAGGGATCCACTACCAAATTAATAAGCTTTGGCTCAAAGGCCAACTTTCATTCTAAGTTTTTAAAATCATTATCCCATATTTTCATTTAATCTTATTAATCTGAGTGCTTTACTCATTTCTTATTGCATTTGAATACATAGTCAACCTTGAAGTGTCTGTTCTTTTGCTGGTTCAAGTGGTGGTTTCTTCTTTTTGCGCCTCAGCATTAAAGAGTCTATCCTGCACAGTATCTCTCCTGTGAGACATCGTTTCCTGATGGTGGAAAATGGCAAATGAACACAATTCTTGATTAAAACCAGGTAAGGAAGCAAATATGCTGGTGGCAGTCCCCCAAGATAAGGTTTCTGTTTGCTTTTTGACCCAAGCAGATGTTTTGAAGCCACAGGTAAACAGCAATCTTCAGGAAGTACAGATGTGCAAGTATCTCCATGTTTTGTAGTGTCGTTAACTGAATCTTTTTTAATGACTGCATCTTCCTGAAGCATGCTGGAGCAGATGGAGCTGGGTTCCTGGAGTTGGTCTTCATCCATTTTTGAAGCTGTGCTTCAAGAACTGCTGACCGGCATGGAGAAGAGTTGTAAGGTTCTTTAAAAACCATTCCACATAGTTGCTTCATCTACCCTTATTTAAAGATTACAAGAGTTAGTAGCAGTTCTGTTTCCACAATACACATGCACAAACACAAGTCTGTAGTATTCCTTAAAGTATTTCAGTTCTTTTTATCTATAAAGTGATTCACGACAAACTAAAAATTAAAACAAAATGAAACCAAAAATTAAAACAAGAATGAAACCAATTGCACATTTATAATTTGATCAGTAATATTCAAAGATGACATAATATCTAATAGTGTCCCTGTTCACACATAATATTAAGCCATAATAATGATCAGTAATTAACATATGTTTAGCTTAGCTTTGGCTTAGCATGATTTATGAACCTAGCCAATTGTAGCTGATTTAAACCACAGCTCAGCAAACTGTATTTAAGAGAAAGGCACAATGGGTTTTTTTATTTAGTATAATGTACAAGCCCACCCATTATAGTTTGAAAACCATGGTTCCATGCTTGCAGTAGATTAGTAACGGAAAGCAATATATTCCAGCCAATTGTCTAGTAAGAAAAAAAGTTCTCTTCATCCCTTTCAATGCTCTTTCCAATGAGTTGTATTCAACACAATTATAGCACCCGTACTTGGATCAATTATAAAACCCGCTCATTATATAAATATAACAATGACCATATTCAGCATATTCCAGCTGACTGTATTTTAACTTCTGCTTGCTTGCCACTGATGCTGGCTAGTTTGTATTCAGCACCACTGAGGAAACAGGAGGATAGAATTGTAATAAAAATTCCCACCACCACAAATACTTAAGGTTTGATTAGTATACCAAAGCTGCATCTGGTAGGTCTAACTCATCTGGGGCTCAAAAATCTAGATGACTATTAAACAGCAGCAACAAATCAGAGCATTTAGTATCTCTTGGCTGCCATCTACTGGTAGTCCAGATTTTGACAACCCACCTAGCTCTTCTGAAGCACTCTGAATTAATCAAGTTCTTAAGGAATGCACAGACTTCCGTTTCTGAGCTCTAGAATTGGATGGATCATCCAACAAATCTACCCAAAGTCCTCACTGCAGGCACAAATTATCCTACTTATGCATATCATGCGAAGACCCACCTCTCCGGAGAAGGCTCTAATGCTGGAAAAAGTGGAAGGAAAGAGAAGAGGACGACCAGCAGCGAGGTGGATGGACTCAGTTACAGTGGCAATGGGTGCACCGTTGCAAGACCGGCTTAGGGACAGATTGTCATCAAGAAAATCTCTATGTAGTCGCTAGGAGTCAAAAACGACTTTACGGCACATAAGCAGGATTGCCCGGACTCGCATAACAAACCCACAGTTAACCACAATGGCTGGGTGCACACACCACGCAGAAGTAGGAGAGCCACATGAAACTTACCCAGCCTAGGACATGTCCATTAAGCCTTTTCGTAGTTTATAAAACTTCCCACGTCTACATGGAAGGGGAAAGGAAGAGAGAGACGAGTACGCACCAGATCGTCGTCATTTGCGACAAAGAAGCCAAACCTACGTACGGAAAGGAGGGTCTGATTTCCGAAGAAGCTCCCTCAGAGGATCTCGATTTTTCTGGGAAAGAAAAGCGGGCGTCCCTTTGGGGCCGGAGGAATTCTTACCGCTTGGTGCTCCAAACATTCCCATCGCAAGACGAAAGAGATGGATTAGAAAACCAATGAGCAACCTTTGTGGCTGCAAGAGACTGGAAAAAGTACCAGAAGTGTGATAGATCGGTTACGTAGAAAAATGCAGACAACGTAACTGTTTAGGGTTTAAAGATTACAATAAATACAAACACAGGAGCAAAACTTACGTAGCGAGGTGGGAGGGAGCACGCATGCGCCTCGCCCCGCGGAGCCCAGCTGCGGTATCGGGCCTCTTTCTCTTCTGGACCGCTGAACCAATCAGTGATTTCAAAAGGATTTCTCATTGTCGCCTCACAGTTTATACCACAAGCTCTGTGTTT